CTTCACGTAAAGTGGTACCAACCTAACAAACACTGGGGGTTGTCATTCATTCTTGCTCTGACGCACCACTGTGGGGCGTGACATGGCTCCAGATCACTGCAAAGTAATATTTCATACATCCAGGTCAGGTCAAGATCTCACTCTTACTTCCTGAAATGTTTACATACACGAATCTTGTGCATAAGGCTGCCAGTAAATATAGAGCAGTTGTAGTTTGCAATTGAGCAGGTAACAACAGAATTGTATTTAGACAAAATATCTCGAGAAAACAGAAAACTTATGAGTAAACAGACAGAAAACTTACGAGTAAACAGAATTATCAACAATGACCTCTTCAGAGAGACAGGGCCATGTTGTGGAAAGATGAAGCTCCCTGATGAAAAAAGATTAAAAAAAAGTCATTCATAAGCTTAATTCCAACAGAATGTCTTTCTTTTTTACCTCTTGTCCTTACAATCACTTCTCATGTCACCAATAAGCACATACGCTGGTAGATTTCTGTAATAGCCACAAAATTTTAAGGGGGCTCTAAATCCAATCTGGAGGGTCAGGAAATCAGTCTCTGTCTGGTCACCATCCTTCGACCTTTTCAGAATGGGTTTGTGACCCTTGAAAGACCGCAGCTCTGAGGGCCACACAGACAGGTAAAGCACCCCACAAGAATAAGACAGAGGCCCTCACTGCAGCTTTGCACTCTTTTTATCTTTAACATGCACAGCATAAATTACAGAAGGTTCTCAACGACTGGGTAATTAGTATTATCAACTGGGTTGATAACGTAAATTGGCCTCCGTAAAGAGTTTAAAGGCTGACACTTCGAGCGTTAGCCCTTTGTCATAGCGAATGACGAAGGGCTGACGAAGGGCTGACGAAGGACTAACGAAGGGCTGATGAAGGGCTGACGAAGGGCTGACGAAGGGCTGGCGAAAGACTAACGAAGGGCTGACGCTCGAAGCGCTAGGTTTGAAACTCTTTATGGTGGCCAGTTTACGTTATCACCTAAGTTGATGATACTTAATTACCCTGATATACTCTCACATTGACGCAACACCACAGTTTCTTCAGAAACGTACCCCTCATACTAAATGGCTGTTTAACATTACATTTTCATTACCTGACCGGATCCTGACAAGCACCAAATGGTAAAGTTCCCAAATCATTTACTCCCACTTTACATTCCAGACACGATGAAAGATCTGGTGGCTCCTGAGGCCAAGAATAATCTGTCCATTCATCCAGAACGTACGTAAAGCGAACAGTTAAAGTGACAGGTGGCATTGGCTGTATAGGGCATGCCTGGTTGAGCAACAAAATAATGCAATAATCGTATCATTATGATATGATCTGAATCAAGATAAAGGCCTTCCATGAGGAAAGGAAACCTCAGTGGAGTCGTTTCATACAGTTTACCTGGGCAATAAAATTGGTGACAAACAACTGTCCACTGCAATGACTGAGTGAGTAGAACTAACTACATCTTCTTTCCTTGGATGGCTTCTAAGCCACAGAGACATCCCTTAACCCATTCCTGTCACCTTCAGCTTCTCCCAAGTTCCCCTAAAGGCTCCCCTACACACAAATCTACACCAAACATCTTTTCGTGGCTGTTTTTTTCTCTTTACCTGACTCCTAAATCAGTGCTTGATCAAAGTGAAACAACCCTGATGTGCAGAACTAACCCCACTTGGACTTTGGATATCAACTAGTAAATGAAAAGTGTTAAAGAAGTTTAAACTATCCTACCAATTTGTCTTTAAATATTTCAAGGAGTCCAGCAAGATTTCTGTACTGCATTGGAACATGACGCAAGTGTGCTATCTCATACATAGTGCGAAATCCACCTCCAATGCAGAGACCGTAGTAAATTTTTCTCCATCGTTGACGCACATGAGCAAACATGGGAATTGTACTGCAAGGGAGAGAAAGGACAATGAATGGAAGGAAGGAAGAATGACGGATGAACAAATGCATGAACAACCAGAAATCACAGGAATATACTTGCTGACAGATAGAGAAATCAAAAGGATTGAGGGAAAGGAACAAAGATGGATGAGGGGAAAAGAAAAGTGAGGGAAGGAAAGATGCATGGGACAGGCTGATGTCAGACAGACAGACAGACAGACAGACAGATAGACAAACACATGGATCACTGAACAGATGGAGGATTGAAGGAGAGAAAGACAAAGAGAAAAAATTGAGGATGTGGGAAAACAAGGTTAAGAAACTTAGAAAAAATATTTCTTGTCTACAAAACATTTGGACATAAGAGGGCAATTTTGACTGGTTCAAAAGGAGAAAAGTTTTGAGTTTGGGTAGAAGGGATCTTTGATACTATGATGAATTCAGCAAATAAGAGCTGACTAAACTCACAAAATCATGACAGTTCCTAGCTTAAAGGATGCAGTTCTTTCCATGGTAAGATAAGAAAAATATTACAAAATAGAATTTTTGTACCATTTAGAGTTTGTAGCAGCAATCCCAATGGAACTAAGAAGAAGATGACACTTGGATTCACTGTCCACAACTTCAGCTTCCTCAGCTGGGCTGATGACAATAAATTCCTTCAAGCCATACCTAACCAGAACAGAATTGAAAACTTAAAACACAAGTATGCACCTAACACCATTTACTTTTCACCACTGCCTTTAACTGCATAATCAATTCATGAAATGAAGACACTGGCCACATTTTAAGACTCCAAAGAGTGACCTATCCAATTGAAAAAGTTTTTCAATTTTTCAAAAGCAAATTCATAAAAAATTCCACTCAAGTGAGTCTGGCAGTTTGAATGTGATCTTAATGATCTGTTTGAACAATAACAAGCTACACAACAAGGCATTTTTAAATCAGTTCATGATTTTGGAACCAACCATAGCAGCAACTGTTTGTAAACTGCATGTTATGAATTTGGATGTGCCACTATGTGGGGAATTTACTTTCAACACAGCAAGTTTTATAATGCATTTGAAGATGATTTTCACACTGTGAGTTGGACATTTGAAATCTGAGAACACTGTGAGACGTTTTAAGTTTTATTTTAACTTTTTAACAACAGAGATACTGAGATTTCTGAGGTATATTTTTCTCTCTTAACCCTTTACACCTCTACATCAGTATGTAAACTATATTCTCTACAGTGTTCTCTATACATTTCCTAAGATGCTGACAAGGAGAATTTGTTTAACAATCAAGAGCTTCTTCAGGTGGTGATCATTGCCATTATTCTTGTGACCTTAATGTTTAATTCAGGGGTGATATTGTAAGGAGAAATTAGATGCTAATCACTCTTAGGGGTTAAAGGGTTTGCTTCCCTTTCAGTAAAAGAACACAAAGGAACTAAACTCATGAAAGGATGATCACCTTTTCAATCCCAACATCAAAATAGATTAGTCTACTATTTGTAAAAATTATCAGCCAGACAAATTAAAAGGTAATGATGAGGGGGCTCTGACAAAGGGCTAACGCTCAAGACGTCAGCATAGAAACTCTTTACAATGGCCAATTTACATTATCAACACAGCTAATAAAACCAAATCATCTTGTTATACTCCCCCCACTGACACAACACCACAGTTTCTCCAGAAACTTACCCCCTTTTATATAATGAAAAAATAGCTTTTAAAGTCATGGCATATTTATTCTTGATCTTTCACTTACCACCTGCTAAGACAGTGAGTTCTTGGTGGAAAATCAAATTCCATATCAAACATTTCCATCATAGCATCTGGTAAACCATCTTCAAAATCTGAAACATAAACAGAATGTTGCTTCAGGCACCTTTGTGCTAATGGTTCTTGTGGTTCTATGGTTAGAGTTCTTAAAAATGTGTTCTTCAGACTTTTTAATAACCAGCAGTAAAAAAAAAACAAAACAATGGTTAACGAACATTAAAATTTATTTCAGATCAAATCAGGTATATTAATGCCTTGTGTGATAACAGTAGCCAGTGCTTCAGAAACTAAAAGTCAGAAAAAATGGCAGCTACTGGATGGTGTTTCTGGAGGATGCTGTAGAAAAGAATAAAAAATTGTAGCCTTTAAGTCTTCTTGAAAGGGAAGTGTTTAAGGTAAAGTCATATTTATAACCCGACCCCCCCTCCCCACTTAGGCTTGTCCTGGATTCAGTTCTTAACAAGTGATTAGGACTAATGTTATCCCCTCCCCCCCCCTCCCTCCCAACCCCGCCCGGACAAGATTCCAGTCCTTCCTGGGGTTACTCTTCAGGATTTGGTAAGTTTCCTTTGATCTGTGGCTGGAATAAATTTATACTCCTCGGAGGAGAGAAGTACTTTGAAAGTCACAAGTCCTACCCCAAGAATACCACCCCATAGATTTCAATCTGAATACCAGTGCACAAACAACTACTAGTAAGCTGGTGCAGAAGGACCACTCTGAGTCATTGACCCTCACCATCCCTTTGCTTTGTTCCATTCCTTCTTGGCCTCCTAGTCCTCAAGCGATGGTATGCCACAATAAAATTGAAATTTCCAAAGGCTATTTTATCTGACACCACACCCCAAGCTCCCTCTTGTTGCTGGAATTAACAGAAAAATAAAACAAAGAAGAATTACTGATAAGTTAAATTTCTCCTAAACTACAACCTTAGTCTCATCATCCATGACAGAGTAGTCCTGGAAAAGACTGTTGTCAGTAAAAGGCACTCACTGATGTTTCAACAACCAGAGCAAAAGTCATCATCAGAGTCAAGTGAGGATTTACTTACCAGGCTAGTGTTTGAGTCCTTCAGCACTCAGTAGAATTAATCAAGGGTTCTTGTGTGATTCAGATGATGGGTAACTTATCTCTTACATTTTCAAAAACTTTTGATCAGTCTCTATCATCAACAACATTCCTTTTTTTTTTCAGGACTACTCTCAACAGACAATAAGAATACAAGATCAACTGTTACTCCTGGATTCAAACCATTAACCCTTTAACTCCCAAGATTTGATTGTTAACTCTCCCCTCTCCCTGCCACACATTTCCTTGTAAATTAGTCATGAGAATTTGGTGTTAGATCAAGACAACAACTTCTACCTGATAAGTTTGAATATTCTTATTACCTGTTTGCTGGATAATGTAAGGACATTACAGGGAGAAGTTTCATGTTGATCACTTCTGGGAATAAAAGGGTTAATCAAAATTTGTCAAATGAATGTTTAAAACTTACCTCTAAATTATCCTTTTTACTTGGAATAGGATTCAGTTTACTCTTTTCAAAATTCCCAGATATTCCTTTTCCCTGTTGAAGAAAAAAAAAATTGAAACCTACATCACATGAATGATTGATAAACTCACTCGAAGACATTACAATGAACCCTATTTTACATTTCATGGAAAGTAATTAAATAAATTTTCATTGATTAAAATTCCAGAGAAATAATTTCTGATGGAAGAGCTCGACAACTTTTTACCAAAGTGTTTTAACAAGTAAACAATCTAAGAATACCTTTGAAGAAGATGTTTTCTTGTTTGTGCCATCCAATTTCCATTCAATAAGAAGCTGTTCTAGTCTTGCAGCAAACCTGTAATCAGTAAAAAAGATTCAGATCTATAGGAAGTATTATCAAAGCTTAATAAATGATACAATCAATTTAACTTGCATATTACACTTTTTTCTGGCAAATTATATAAAAAAAAAGCACATAAACTTAAATTTCAAGTTTCATCACATGCAAGAAAAGTTAAATCTTTGTGCCACTGAAGGGTGTATTTTAGCAACAATAATTTACATGAAAAAATTAAGTGCCCTGATTGGTTGAAATTGAGTGCATTCTCATGTAACACAAGTGCAAGGTTGTAATATGAGTGCAAAGTTGTAACACAAGTGCAAATTAAAAATGGCATTCAAATGCTTACAAAATTTTTTTTTTCTTCTTCCTTTTCTGTGATGTTTTTTTTCATGTTTTTCATTAACAAGGAATTACATAATTTCTCTTGAAACTTGGTGTAATAAGCACTTGTAAATTCTCTGAGGCTACAAATTGTACTCGCCCACTCTTTAAAAAAATTACTCATGCCTATTGACACCAAATTGCACTCAAAAGCATGTTATTATCTACAGTAGACTAATTATCCCCTCTCACCCCTCCCCTGGCTTCCCTAACAGTCCACCTCCACCTATTTATACTCTTAGGTGGAGAGTGGTACTCTGAGGAAAGTGAGAGTAGAATGAGAGTCTTACTCAAGAACACAACACAATGACTTGGCCAAGTCTTAAACCTACACCTCATGACCTTGAGTCTAATGTGATTATAATTTGGCTCCCACATGTCTCCCACATGTCTCCCACATGTCTCCCCCATGTCTCCCCCGTGTCTCCCCCATGTCTCCCACATGTCTCCCACATGTCTCCCACATGTCTCCCCCAAACCATTGATTAAAATTTTTATAGAGGAAATGGTAACCCTGTGGTAAGTGGGGTGGTCATGTTACTACTGGATGATCATATCTGCTTGGATAATTGTGTTGTGTTCTTTCCACAAGCCTCCCTTCAATTTCTGGAAGTAGCCAACATTCTAGGCAGCCATATTTCAAGGGGTTGATGCATAAGACTTGAATCCTATCCAAAACCAGGGACACACATAAGTTCCTAAAGAATGAAGAACCTGGGATATGCTACAGGAAGTATGGGCCAACAGGCCTTTAATTTTATAATCTTCATATTACTGACCACATCTTGTGAAAACTCAGACCTAGAAAAAACTCACCTTAGACTCTCAAAAAAACCCAGGCCTCAGATACCTGCACACCTATCCCTCCCTTAACCCAACAACAGCCAATTGATAACACATTAGGGTTAAGGTTGGGTTAGGGGAGGGGTAGGTGCACAGTTACTCAGATGGTGACACTGATCCCTGAGTTTTTGGGGGACTGAGTTGTAATGTAGTCAGATAACAAAACAATTTTAACAACTGTGAATATATGAAAGTCATATACTTGAACTGCGGATAAAGGTATGAATATGAAAGAGATTTTTGCAGTAATGAACACTACTTGAGCAGTTGTGAAAATTAAGGCCTGAAAAAAAATTCAGGCCTGTATGGGATTTAAACCCATGACCTCTGCGATACTGGTGCAGTGCTCTACTAACTGAGCTAACAAGCCAACTGGGAGCTGGTCATCATGTTGGTTCCAAATAAACCCGTGAAGTGGTGAATAAACAACTGTGAATATATGAAAGTCATATATGTGACCTGCAGATAGAGGCGTGAATATGAAAGAGATCTTTGCAGGCCTGAATATTTTTCAGGCCTTTTTTTCACTACTGCTCAAGTACTGTTCATTACTACAAAGATCTCTTTCATATTCAAAACAACTTTAAGGTAACTGTACATTGACCATTACAAAAATACATAACATAACACGTGTGCAAACATTCAGGATATATCAGGTCTCACTGTACTGCACAAGCCTGTAGAGGCTATCGTGACATTGTTACATGAGTTTTCAACACACATAAGGGCCCAAGATTTTAGGAGGACTGAGGTGTAAGTCTCCAAAGACTTAGTTTTTCTAACACCCCTTGTTGACCAACATATGGGCTTTACTAGCTGCATACATGGGCATAGACACTTCACCTTTCCCTCATTGGTTTTCAATTGTTTGCTTCTACATATGGGTGATCATCAAAACAAAACATGAATCCATTTCTACCAATCAATATCTTTGCTTTCACTTTGATTAAAAAATAATTAATAAATAGTTGTTCATAAATATTTAATATAATAATTTGAGAATTAAGAAAAATTTATATCAATCTTGGCTATTATAATTTTAAGATAAAATAAATCAACAAATAGATAAATTAATAACTTTGATCCTGGTTAATAATTAGGCTAGCTTATCATGTGTAGACTGCAACTTAACGGATCTGATAAGTAATGAAAGAGACGCGATCATCATTTTTCTATTCAATCGCTAAATTTTCATTTAAAAATTAAAATATATATTTACAAAATATTAGGCTAATTCAATCTCATAATCAGTCAAAAAGCCTACCTTTCCCATTCGGAAGAAGTCGTAAAATCTGTTATTTCAAACACCTCCTCCTCCTAATATTTTTTGAAAAAAATATATACATATTATTTAATTTTATTTTAGAACCATTTATCACAAGCGAGTGACTTCTTCCAGGAGTTTTATCGACATATAATAAACTTACCTCGTCTGCTCCGTCCGCCATTTTGGATTCATGTCCTGCGCATGCGCTTTCTGCGCCCGTAGAGACTAGTAGTTCAAAAATGTTTTTGAGTTCTTTGCTTTTTCTTCTGATTATGTCGATAGATTTTCTTATATTCCATATCATATGGTGAAAATCCATCAAAAATTAATTACGAGATGAATTTGAAATTGAACAAACAAAATGGGTGAAAAAAGAAACGATTTCCTAATTGTGACGTCTCCGTCTTGTCCCCAGTCTCCATAAGAGCTCATGCCACAGCGTCTTCTACCGAGTACGTAAACACATGATGTTCTGCGTGGAGATTTCGAAGTTTTCAACGTATTTTTGACTGGGAAAAAAACAACATTAATGCCTGTTCTTCCGGAGAAATGGGTTATAGGTTTGCACGATAAGCGCGGGCGTAATATAACACTTACTAGTGACAAACGTAGGGCTGCCAGAGAGGGTGATACATATGACCATGGAATGGTATTTAGTGATAGGCCTTTGCACATTGGGGAGATTTTTCAGCTCAAAATTGAAGAATTGGAATCAAAATGGGCAGGATCTCTGGTATGTAAGGGTGAAATTAATTGTATAGGACAACTACTAAGTAATTTTGATTAATAAAACACTGAGAGGGAGAGACATCATGATAATTTAATTCTCATTGAATAGATTTATATTACATTGTAAAACTTCGAGAAGGTAGGATCTACATGCATCTGTTTTTATCTTCGATCCTTAAATATGTTTAGCCTTCCTTGCTTCATAATCTACGAGAAATATCTCAGGTCGAGTAGTACACTAGAATCTATCTGAATGAATCTGCTAAACCAATCACATAATTGTGATATGTATTATAAAATTTCTGTAAACTATTTATGAATTACTTCTTAATTTTTATTTCACTTTCTCTTTTTTTTTTCGGAAATAAAAAGAAATGATAAGTACATTTAAATACATTTTTCAACATATTTGTTTGTAGGGATCTTTTTGTTTCATTTAGACATCAAAACCAGATGCATACAAATTAAAAGAATAAGAGGCTTGGCTCTGTTTGCAGCCCTCTCCCCTCTCCTCTAACCCTAAGCAATTATTGTCATCATAAAGTATTATGGTCATTATTTAACCCCAGAAGTCCCAAAGTAATCACCATCTAATTTCTCCCACCGTAATGATACATTTTCATGAGAATCAAGGAAATGATCACATCATAGCAAAACAATTTCCTGATGACTAATAATGGATGAAGAGGGAAATCAAAAGAGATCACTTGTAAGTACCCTGCAAGCAAGCTCTTGAGAGATTCTTACAACCTGCAAGAAAGCTTGCTAGCAGGCCAACAAGGAAGTGAGAATTGATTTTTAACATGGAGCTCTAAAGGTTAACCCCTTAACTCCCAAGATCTGACTATTAATTCTCCTCTCTAGCAGCCACACTTTTCATTGTGAATCAGTTAGGAGAATTTGGTATTAGATATAGGTAACAACTTCTACCTGATAAATTTGAGTATTCTCATCACCTGTTTGTTGGATTAAATGAATGCATATTATAGGGAGAAGTTGCATGTTCATCACTTCTGGGAGTTAAAGGGCTAACTCTTTACACCTGAGCATCAGTATGCGTATTGTGCACACTGTTCTCCATTTAATCCCTCTGGTGCTGGCAATTTACAATGAAGAGCTTCTTTAGTTTCTGATCATTTCCTTTTTTTTTTTTTTTTCAAGACCTTAATATGTGATTCAGCAGTGATATTGTAAGGAGAAATTAGATGCTCTCAGGAATCAAAACTGATTGACATTTATTTTATCATGCAGAGATTTGGAATAACAACGTGCAATCCTAACTGTCCCTCCACAAATATAGTACGAGCAGCAACAGATTTGTTTACTGCTGATCATCAGGATTACTGGATGTTGTCTGGAACTCGTATCCACAATGGGGAGATAGAAAAAGAATATAATTTCAGTATTCACTCGCTAAAAGTTAACGACGTTTTAGGAGTTCAAGTGACTGGCAATGGGAACTTGAATTATTATGTAAATGGACTCAATCAAGGAGCTGCAATGACTCAAATACCTTTAAAAAAGGATATTTATGCTGTATTTGATGTTTATGGAAGGACAAAACAGGTGTCGGTAAAGTACTTTGGAGGTAGGAATGTATACTGAGTAATATAATTTACAATGAATGGTTTGAACTTGAAATTAATGTATGTTTAATTGAGTGACTTGATTAACCTTTTAACTCTTTCACTCCCAAGATCTAATAAGTAATTCTCCTTACTATCTGCCATACAATTCTTATGATGTTAGTTCAGAGAATTTGGTATTGGATCAACTAATAATCCCATAATTGATATTCTTCTCTATTCTCATCACCTACCTGCTTGATATTGTATTGATATTGTAAGGAGAAATTCTGTCTTGGTCACTTGTGGGAGTGAAAGGGTTAACTCCCAAGATCTGATTGTTAATTCTCCCCTGTAGCTGCTGCACATTTCCTCTTATATTTGTAATGTAATGAGAATTTGGTGTTAGATCGAGGTAATTTCTACCTGATAAGTTAAAGTATTCTCATTACATGTTTGTTGGATGATATATGGATATTATTGGGAGAAGTTAATTGTTGATCACCTCTGGGAGAAAAATGGGGTCAGGGATGTTCTGAAATGGGGTTATGGTTTAGATAGTAACTGGAGTTTTAACAACCAGAAAGTTTGGCTTTGGGATTTTTTTTTAACCCTCTTTATCCAAGGATTGGTATTCATATTCTCCATTCTCTTCTCTTTGTAACCCATTAACTCCCATGAGTGATCAAGACAGAATTTCTCCTTACAATATCAATACAATATCAACCAGAAAAGTAATGATAATGAAGGAAAAAAATCAGGGGATCAGTAGTTGATCCAATACTAAATTCTCTGAACTATCATTGTTAGAATTAAATGGTTAAGAATATATGAAAGTCATATATTTGAACTGCGGATAAAGACATGAATGAAAGTGATCCTTGCAGTAATGTGCACTACTTAGGCAGTAGTGAAAATAAGGCCTGAAAAGAAAAAAAAAATCCTGTACAGGCCTGAATTTTTTTTCAGGCCTTATTTTCACTACTGCCTAAGTAGTGCACATTACTGTGAGGATCACTTTCATTCACATTGTTAGAATTGTATGTTTGACAGTAATGAGAGTTACAAATTTGATCTGGGATTTAATTTAAAGGGTTAACTTTTTTTTGGTACTGACAAGGGGAATTCAGGTGCTTCTTAAATTGGTGATCATATCTGTTATTTGCATGACATCTGATTGAAGGGTGGTACTGTAAGGAGGATTTATAAACTGGTCACTCCTAGGGATTAAAGGGGTAAAAAGATAGGAAGGTACTCTATGTAACAAAGTCAGCTGCTCTCATTGCCTGAAGAAGACTAGCAGTATGCAGTCAAAATGTTGCATCCACATCTAAACTGACTACATACTAGTGAGACAAACAAATATCTTCTCTTTTGAATGTTGTACTTTTGTTAATTGTGTTCCTGTTTTGAATTGTGTGTTCTCACATTTTATCAGAGGAGACAGAAATATAGTAGTCAATTTACTGAAAAATATAGATGGGGTGGAGATGCAATCCTCAAATATATATATACATGAGCTATTTCAGTTGTTTGAAAAGTAGGTAACGCTATCCAACTGTTAAGTTGCTATCCAGTGGATTAGTGTTAACAAAATATGCGTCATAATCCACTAGATAGAGATTTATCTAGCCGATAGTTTAGTCCACTCTTTGAACAACTAGGGCCTGGATTTCAGAATTTTATAGGTTGATATCTCTGCATAACATTTTTATTTTGTTTCCTTTTTTTTTAAACTATATAGTGGCAACATTAGAAGAACTTTGCAAGACTGAAGTATTGAAATGGGTGAAGGATAAAGAGAAGCTTTTAAAATTACCTATTCCAAAGATTCTTATAGACTTTTTACAAGAATAGTGTTGTAGTTATGTTCAATAATAGTGCATATAGTAAATTGTATAAACTGTTGACTAGAAAAGCAAACCTTGGACAGTCTCAATACTTCATAGTTAAGTAGCTGTTTGCCAGCTGCTCAAGATGTGAATTTTTATTGTCATTTTTTTTTTTTTCAAAGAAAAATTGCTTCGCTATATTGCTATTAATAAGCATATTTGTCCTTAGTAAACATCACCCTGTATACATGTTGATTAATTACGGTTATTTGAAGTTTCATCTGTCTTTTTTAACATCAC